TACAAGATATGGCTGCCAACCGATGTCAGTGGCGTTCTTGTTGTCAGTTTCTATCCAGATTGCCTGAGTGAATGTCTGGAGGTGTAGGCACCTCGGAATGATTGTGTTAGGCTAGCACTAAGTCCCTCCCCCGTCCACCTTTACTCTTTTCTTTACAATAAGGCTTTCAAATAAGTCATGGTTGTACGGCAGTGAAGCATTGGTGTTGAACATTGATGTCATGCTGTCGATGATGATTATTCTGACCTTCCATTCATTTTCCGTGGGATTATTGCGGCCAGACATGGTGCACATAAGGACGTCGTGGATGGCCTTGTTCAAGACGCGTGAGAGATGGACAACACGTCATCAAAGAGACTTGTCGTGGGTATGGCATTGCCATCTTCTTAAATGGAGGTTCTGTTTGCTGATCGTTCAGTTCACCTAGCTTGGCAACGGAACCCATGCAAGCCAAGTGCCTTTTTTTGTGAACAGGTCAGAGGTCACCTGAGCAATAGTCGTTAAGTGCACTCGGGCTGCCAGCATTACTTGGACACTTTGCCCGACAGTTTCTGTTTCGTGTGGGAGCGTTGTCAGAAGTTTCTATACACGAGTATTTTAGCGCCAACTCTTATGGTTATCCAGCCTTGTAGGTGTCTCCGACTAGTTATTACCATCGCCTGAAATAGGGAGATAGAATCTACGTTCACTCAGCCGTTACCCTTAAGAGGGACCTACCAGTGCTGGACACCTCTGACAGGAGACGGTTATTAAAGCGTGCAAACCATTGTTCACATGAAACAACTGATTCCGCGACCAATTCATGGTTAAAAGGCAGCCTCAGACTTTGAATCTTGGTGCTGATCGATATCTACAGGTCGATGGTCATGTTAATCGATTAAATCATCATCCTGGAACATCAGAGACCCTGTGTTGACTGAATTGAAAGTTTCTTGGCAGATGGTTAAAGCATTCCTGTACAGCTGTCAAAGTTACAATAAGAATTTTCAGTTAATGACAGTGGATGACGAGAAGAAATCATGTATTTCGCATGACTTTGAATGATTGACCTTCACACAACGATGCGCTGACGACGTCACCTCAATTGGGATGAAGCGCTTGCAAATAAGTAGCACAAATTACAAATAAATTACGAGTAAACCATCGCTCCTGCTCTTGTCGACTGTTTGTGCGTAGCCACCCCCAAAACACTCGGTATTCGTGATACAACACGGACGAGCGGAAATGGATTAGTTTTTCGTCCGTTTTTGCTATCGACAAAATTTGGCAGCAACCAATCAGATAAGCCGCAAGACTTGCATCTCAGTCAATAGTGTACGCCAATTACATTCCGAATTATTTATGAGTTCGCCTAAGCAATCCAGACTGTCCAGAAATGGACGCTGTCAGAACTGCGCGGACTGGTGATTTGTTGAGTAGAACTCACGTCCGATCAAAGTCGGTCTACTTGAAAGTTTGTCCGTCTACGTTTGGTGACGTTGAATGTATACTGTTACAAGACGATCCAGGGGAGGAAAACTGTTCGTGATGACCTCGGGACAGGTTTAAGGAACTTATACCGTAGTACGGTTAACGGTAATTTGACGGCACACACAAAGAGCAATTGGTAGTGAAAATTACACGTGACAGAAAGGTTTCAATTCAGTTGTTCACATAACCCCGGCAAACAGATTTCTCTGAGTAAATCGACTTTTGCCACTTTTGTGACACTTCAGAAGTCGAGTTTAATAAAACTGCGGTTGTCTCCTTTAAGACCGACCCTACTAGGGATGCTCTTTCAAGTCCAACCTCTCTATAAAGTGCACCTCCAAACAGGTCATTCCTTTCCAAAACTATCGGGGAAATGCACCAGCAAGTTGTACGAAGGAATTTTTGAGCATACTTACAAATTTGATCATATTTCATCAAGTCCAGGGCTTTCGGATTAGTTTGTAGCTTTTCCCCGATATCGATCATATTAGTTTGTGATGCCTCAGAAATGACTTGTTCCGTTTTGCTCTGTTTTCTTAGCGGAAAGGGGGGGGTCACGGGGATTGTGAGCCTTGCCCGTTCATCATAGCAAATTATAAGGGAAACCGGAAAGACAAGCACTTTTTGCTCCAGCTGTTGTCTGAATTCGTACGTTGACGGACAATATAGTCGGCACAAACTGTGACCCTATCCTGGACATCCACGAATGAATACATCTCAAGATATGTCACACAATCGATATATTTTGCTAGTCTATCGGTTTAGAAGCGGTTCAAACAAACGCGGACACGTGATTGGTTCGCGATACCGGAAGCGGTTTAGAAGCGGTTCAAACAGACGCGGACACGTGATTGGTTCGCGATACCGTTGTTTTTAACACTGGGGGTTACAACAACATCGATGTTTCTGTTTCGATAGGAAAAAAACAGGGATAATGTTCGTCCAGACGTGGAACTGTGTTGAACGTCGGTTTATGTAGGAAAAATTCACCAAACACCGCTTTGTGAATAACAAACGGGCTTCAAAAAAGTGTGTTGGACAATCGGTGGGATACGTGCTAGGCAAAGTTTCACTTTTGACACAAAAGCTTCGAGAATGCGTTGTCTGGTCGATTGGGCTTCAAGGCAGACGGTGACTGAACAAACAGTACTCTTTAGCGAAGTACACCCATTTTCAAACTAATTTGGTTTTGCGAGAGACTCTTATGTGACCCAGCTGAATCTCTTCTTCAGCTCGCAGGCCTAATCCATGCTTAACGCTAACCAAAAACCCTTGCTGGTTCGCACGGGTTACCGGAAGTTGCCACAGAGAAAAAGTTATCATCAGGCTAGACTGATTTTAGGACCTTAGTTCCCGTAGTTGACACATT